ATCCTATAAAATCTTTTATCTCAGGTGTTAACTGTACTTATATATTTAACATTCAAAAAGCCATGCGTTGACATAAAAAAATCACTTCTAATACTCAAAAAAGTAAGTTTTATAAGGCCCAGTGGGTCGATTTTGGCCCATTCTTCTCTAATTTATGACTCTTCAAAGCGAAGTAGTATTTGAATTTACCGCTTTAACGGTTATGAATGGTTAATGATGTCCGCGCATACTGCTCGATAATGTAGGAGCTAAGGCTTATTAGCACAAGCAATAAACACAAAAACAAAAGAAAGGAAATGAAAATATCGAAAAAAGTACAGCTTACATTAGAGGTACAAATGTTTGTTGTATTATCTCAATTTCTTGGTTCATTCTTCTGATTCATTCTTACTTACTATACGATTCAACCTTAAAGATCAAACATTGTATAAAAAAAAAATCTTCATTCTCTTCAGATAGTCTATGTCTTTGAATATGCTTTGCAATGCATATTTTGAAAGCAGTTTTTATCATTCTACAGAAAACCCATATGTAATCATTGAGTATGTACCTTACGGAGATCTTCTCGGTTACCTTCGGAGAAGTCGTGGGTTGCACGACTGTTACTATGAATATCCTGAGATAAAACCAGCGACGTACCTGACCTCCGAGCAGATCCTGACATTCGCCTGGCAGATAGCTGACGGCATGCAATATATCTCATCTAAAAGGGTGCGTGTTTTCAATTGATAATTATTTATAACATTTCGTTGTATCCTCAATATCATCATCTCTTTTGTTTGTTTTGTTTTGTTTTCGTTTTCTATCAATAGATCATCCATCGAGATCTAGCAGCAAGGAATGTATTGGTTGGTGAAAACCTCAGATGCAAGATTACAGATTTCGGGATGGCTCGCGATGTTGATTTGCAAGATATTTATATACCTCGTAATCAGGTAGTTCCTTTTCTCAGCAGTTAACCTGCCCAAACTGTTTCAATAATGAAAGGACATCCACTTTGACTAAGATTTTTAATATAATGACCGCTTAAACTTAGATATAGATGAAGTGATGAGAGATGTAAGCTCGTCCTTCACCTCGGTCTGCAGATCTTACGTTTGCCTTCCCCTCTTTTCCTCTATATTTATGGTTTTAATTGATTAATTTATTCTTTAACCAATAGATCGAGATCGATGCGCTAGAATCTCTCGATGTCTTAGGAACTAATGCTATTTGAGATCCTATCACTATAAAAAAAGAAGGTAAAAAAAAAAAGAGGAAAAGAAATGAAGAAAGAAAAAGAAAGAAGATAAAGAAAAAAAATAAGAAAAAGACACTAAATCCCTCAGTTATTCCAAAAGGGGATCACCGAAAATTAAATATATCCTCAGAAAAATGAAAGTTTCTCCTCATAAACTTCTTTCAATACAGGGTCGAATTCCTGTTAAATGGACAGCAATTGAAGCAATGACTGGAAGGATGGAATACTCAACGAAAAGTGATGTGTAGGTTTAGCCTACGTGTAGTGTAGCAGTACCCTTCCCCCGCTAAGGTGAAACGAAGGCGAGGCAAAGTCAACGCAAACCTGACACTAATCGTGTTCCGTGAAGTCACTCTTTTGCAAAAAAAATGTATAATGACTGTTTTATTGGTTAATACCTTTTATAAAATTATTCAAATAGTACGCGCGCTCTGATTGGCCATAAAACCATTTTACATGAGCGTATGTAAACACGGTTTTCGTTCCTCTTTCATTAGTTATTTTATAAAAGAAATGTAAAATGGTTTCCGTGTTTACATAGCCTGATGTAAACACTCGGGAGGTTGGGAGAACACTTGATAAGCTGGAAACCACTCCGCTTCGCGTCGTGGTTTCCTACGCTTATCTCGTGTTCTCCCAACCTTTTGCGTGTTTACATCAGGCTCTGTAAACACGGAAACCATTTTACATTTCCTCATTGTCAACTCATTCGTCGATTCTGATTGGTTCTAGTTGTAATTTATTTTCATATTAACAAACAAGATGCTGAATAAAATGTTTTCACGGTCAACTTTCCAGAGAACAGCGATCTACGACGAGGTTTTAAGGCAAGTTTGCGCGGCGTTTGGGATAGAGACATTTCAAGAAGAACAGCAGAAAGCGATAGATATTTTTTTCGAAGGTAACGATGTCTCCCTTTCGTTACCAGCTGGCTATGGAAAATCCTTATTACATCAAGTTGCGTCTGTGATCGATCACCTTTCTTCTTTAGGGGAAGGCAGTCACTACATTTTTTATTTTTTTAAAGCTCTCAGAGAAGACCAGGTGCACTATCTTAATGCACTTGGGCCAAGAGGGTCGTCGGCCTTCAACTTTCGGTCTCTTTGCGAACGGTGCTTTGAAGGTAAATTAAAGCCAGTCGTTTCATACAGCGATTCTTTCGACTGAGGAAAGAGTCGCTCTTTCTTCACGCTTGCAGCGTAACTCAAGGAAACCTTTGAAATCCTTGAGATTCTGCGGCAGATGATCCACCTCTTTTCGACGGCCGTGGCACTGTTTACAAATGCAAGCAGAAACCGCGTGGACATTGAAATCTAGTTTCGTAAGTGCGATGCTAATCGATTAGAGTCAGGTTTACGTAGACGCTCTCTCGCTTCTGTTCCATCATCGGGGAGGGTACGGCTACACGTAGGTTAGTGTAACTTAAGATAAATGAAATTACAAACTTGAAACACTTAAAGCCTTTTTAGAAAACAAGAAAAAGTAAATCTAGAAATCTTACAGCTGAAGTAGAAGATAAGCACCTCTCAATTTAGCTAGAATACGGAGATCTAGGAAATCTAAAGACAGAAAATACTGAACTTTTGTTTTTACTTTCTTGCAGGTGGAGTTTTGGAATCGTTTTATACGAGATTTGCACCATTGGTAGGTCTTATACTGACCTCGTAGTGGTTTAAGGTTTAAGATTTAAGAAGGCATCGATCGAAATAGAGTATACAAGTACCAATCATCTGCCGTGACAGGTACTGATGAAGCTCTTTAGGATAGTATATTTACTTTCAGACTTCCGTGAGAAAATCGTAAGCAGTCAGTATTTATGAGAGACCAAGAATAAGAGATGAGTGATTTCTAACACACGTGTGCATATATTCAATCAACAGCTTGCTTTCTCTTTCATGATAGTATTTTAATAAAGCAGCTTTCTATCGGTTTGAATGTTTGTCATCCAAAGCAAGCTCTCGTAATTTGTTCCTCTATCACTCGAGAAAAGTTATAAAGTAAAATTAAGAGATTCTTTGGTCATCATAGTACATTGACTGTCATCTTAAATTATTACACACTTTAGGCGCTGAACCTTATCCCGGAATAAGTCCATATAAGATTCCAAGAGTATTACAAAAGGGGTACAGAATTCCTAAACCTGATTATTTTAAGGATGAGTTGTAAGTAATTCCTAACCTCTCTACAGTAATTTTTAATATGATAATGGCAAAAGTTCTGTCATAAGGTAATCTAAGTTAATCCATAATGTATTGTATCGCAATCCAACTGAACTCTAAAAAATGCATAGCTAAAGCTACAACTTTCTAAACCTAACGTTAAAATAAAAGAGTTTCTAGGAAACTAAACCAAATGCAGTGCAAAAGTCATAGGTTACCCTCCGCCTCGTCTCCAGCTGTTATGTAGTTATTTACCCATTTATATCTGTCGTATGAAACAGATGCAATCAGGGCGATGCGCGAAACCTAAATCGAGATTCTGTTGATTTTAAAATGTTACTACCGTTGGTAATGTTGTATTCTGTTAGCACTAACCATGGAAAATACTGGAATTCTTCAGGTATAATATCATGCTGAATTGTTGGGAAACGGATCCTGAAATAAGACCGTCATTTGAGTTTTTATGCTCCTCCATCAGGGGATTACAAAAGTCTAATCAGGTTAGAATTCTTGTGACAAATGTTACTCGTATTGCAGGTCCTCTTAGGTATTTATCTTGTAAATCAGTGCCCAGGATTATGATCGTGCGAGTGATGGACGAATGGTAAAGTCATTTTTTGTGTTCAGGAACACGAGCCACGGGAGACTTGCATACAAAACTGAAAATTTTGCGGCACATCCTTTCTGGTGACAAATCAGTGTCGCAATTTCTTGTGAAGTTGGGTTGTTTCCTATTGCGGGAATGTCCCATCAGTAGTGAAAAGGTCTTGGAAAGACGCTTTTGACGAGTTTTCCTTTCACTTCTGATCTTGAATTTCGTCGTTGCTCTCTTTTGCAGAATTATGTCAACGTACAAGACTGCCTTGAGACTCACCAAAGCAAAATTAGTTTATAACAATCAAAGAGGTTCTCAGAGTTAAGATGAGAAGAACAAAAGAAACATCTCGGAAGAACCATACCATACCGCATCGACTAAAACGTACAACGACTTGAATGTCCCAAGTGCCAAAAGATTTCCACTTTCGTTTAACACAGTATGAGCTCTACTTTCTACGCTTTAAAATGGTCAGTTCTGTTGACGACATTTTTAGAAGCACCCAACACGACTCATATTACCACTTATCTCTTAATCGTGAGTCGCGTAGTTTATATAAGATATTTGGGTCTGATTTTCCCTAAAGCAAGTGGCAAACGGGCTACCCACTTACTTGATACCTGACTACATTTGTGGTAGTCGTCTGAGTCCCCTGCTTGGGGTTTACAGCACTTTTAACACATAGTCATAGCCGTCTCTAACAGAGTGAAGTCTTTTTTTTTTTTCGTTTGCAGGGGTGATCGGATGTCTGATTTCGATCATAATTTATAACCACCCAAAAGAAGAGAATAAAGACAAAGGGTCCATCCTGTAAATAAGAATATATTACACTAAGTTATCATTACTACCAACTATAAGATAGTAGACGATGGATAACAAATAAATTTATTTACTACATCCATTTTAAAATCACTGGTGGTCCCTGTAATATGATTGGCTCTAATTGGTGCGATTTGTTCACGAATCGCGCCATTATTTGCTCTTAATCGAACCTTTTTCCCAGCCAATGAAAAAGCTACACTTAACATAAAACAACCAATCAGATTTCAAGGCTTGTTTGAAGCAACCAATCAAATTGCAGGAAAATGGAAGACGAAGAGTATAATGTGGCAAATTTTGCAACTCTTCTCTCCAAAACCCTCATTTTTTCCCTCCCAAAAATGGATGAATTTAATTTCTCACGGTTTTTGAAAGATGAAAATGAGATCCTTCAGGCTAAAGACCAACACTCAAGGGACTTTCCCACTTTTCGTGTACATTTTGGTGAGTTTTTTTGACGATTTTCTTCCTTCTCAAGCTCAAAACCCGCGCGATCCCAACCGCGTCCACCGAGTCAGCAAGAAACGAAGAAAATCAAGAGCTACCACAAGAGTCGGATGTTTCAAGATTTCCTATAATTTCAAGCGATGAAATACATGAGCTGTGCGAAGTGGCGCTGGGGTAAACTCGGAGCTGATTCCTCTGATTAGAACATTTGCACCAGTGGACGACTTCTCAGAGAACACAAACAACAGTCAAGACTGCGGACTCCAGTTTTTCTCAAATCTTGATCGGTATGGAGTCAGATGTATTACTTGATATGACACTGAGCCATTGTGAATGAAGGGCTTAAAAATGTCCATGACAGATTTGGACTGACTACTGACTTCACTCATAGGACTTGCCCGAGTCTTCTTTGTTGGAACTCGGGGAAGTGTATCTTCACTAGCAGGAGATAAATACGATGGCTTAGCGATAAAACCGTTAGGCTTCGGCTCCGTGCTATTTTGTTTTTGCGCCACTCTCCTCTTTTCCGGGCAGCTAGAAATCAGGTGACCTTCTTTTCTGTAATAGTAACATGTTGGTGGCTTGATGAGCTTACTTTGATCAAACTTTCTCTGTCTTGACCATCAGGAGCTGAAACGATTTCTGTGGTTGTTAGCAGGGTTCTGTTTTGGATGTCCTCCATCATTCCGCCAAGCTATCGTGGTACCGAAGGAGGAAGAACTCTACCAAGTGGAGTGCGAAGCTGACGGGGTATTTCCACGCAATTCACTATGTGGTTCAAAGAAAACTCATCCACTGATCGTTATGCAGCGTCCCCCAACGTTTCTCCTTTTTGCTCATCGATGAATGTTTGGACATCACTGTGAATGCACCCCTCACATCTCTCTATTTAAATAAGCTGTCTTAACCTATCATAACTCTTGTCTACGTACCTCTGTGAATGGCACCAAGCTTCAAATAGCCTTACTTCTAGCAAATTCTACTTAGGTCTGACTAACGACTTTCTCACAGTTTCTAAACTTTTGAGAACTAGTTCATAAACGTTTTAAACAAGATCCTTCACAGTCTCATAATGTGCAGCTTGCACTATACTTAACTGTATATAATTAAGTTTCCCTTGATTTACGAACTTGTACACTCTATAATAACATTTCCTAGTAAACCTTGTGCCACTTAAGAGAGAATTTTTCTGGAGACCGCGTGAAATCAAAAAAATGTGGCACATGCCTAGAAAAAGCCCTACTTTCATACTTCGCTCAAAGATACCTTAGGGTAAGTCTGTAAACGTGGTATAATTTTTTTGTTCAGAACTGTTTTTATTTTCTAGAAAATCACCAAACACTATATCGAGCCCCAACCGCCATAACAGTGGCCGAAATGAAGCCGACGAGTAGGGCAACAAAAACGTTATTCTTCAAAAGCGCAAAAGAAAGCAAGTCTTTCCGAATATTATCTATTTGTATACGAGGTATTGACAAATGATTTGCATATAATAACGGGATTATTGACATAACTATGAATTATTGGCGAATATTTGAAAATTGCCAAAATTTGATTGATTAAAAATTTCATTTTGGAGCAGTTTTTCAATAAAACATTTTTCCTACTCGGTATAACTCGGAATCACTTGAGATGAGCATTTCTGAAAATTGGAAACGATGTTCTTTTCAAGGATATAAAAATTAATTTGGGGCTCTTAATTACTGCGAAGAAATAGCCCGATCTATTTCGTGCAAATCGCAACGCCGCCGTGTAAACAACCGCAGATAATCCAATTATTCTTTTATTATCGAAGCTATAATTTCTGCAAAATCTTACCGCTTTGAGCTGTGCTTTATCAGAAACTCAATATGTTACCCTTACCTTCTGAAACCAGTGATTAAGGAGTGATGTTTCCATTATTTTTGTTTCAAATCGCCATGTTCACTTGACCATTTACAATACTCGGAGCTGTTCATAAATCATCGCAAACCATCGCAACTCTTGACTTATTTCTGCTTCCATACAACTCGAGTATATACAAAAGTCTTTTTAGCACGATAAACCAAGATGCTTTGATTGCTTACAGTTTCAGTTAAGAAACGTTTGGCTTCCCAAATGGCACAACGATGTTCACAAACGAAGTCGTGTGTCATCACTCATGTTTGTCACGCAATCACGCTAAACGTGCACAGGACACCCAGACAGGCATTCGTCTGCAGACATCGCTGTACCGAGTGCAGGGCCAACTAATATTTATTTCTTAGTCAGTGTTATGTTTTAAACAAAAACCTGCGCGAATTCACTTAAAAAACGCTGTAGATCTCTTTTGAGTGTTTTGAATCAGTGCCATTCTGAAAAACTACTTTTTGACGTTTTCGTAAATTTAGTCACCCCCTCTTACTGACTATACATGCGTTGTTATCGACTCTATTTCCACGACTTCGCGCTTGCAAAGATTCTATTTATCAATAGGCACTTTAAGCATGACGTTTAACGGCAAACGGTAAACGCAAGCTTGCCTTTCATTTTGTTACCTATTTATGGAATTCTTAAAAAAATCCTGCACAAAAAATAAAATAAAATAAAATAAAACATTCACGACAAACACAAACCTACTTAATTCCGTGTACACACGCCTAGAGACAGACGACAGAAATTGAATTTTTGACGTTCGCGGGAAAAATAAACGTCATGCTTAACCTCTCAAATGACGAACTTCCCAGTTAACTAAAACAACTGGAAGTTAATTGTCTAGTACTCCGTGATTATATACATCACCTACGTGTCCCTAGTGGATCGATAAGGTCTACCATGACCTTCAGTGGCAGGCAGACAGGTTCCACGGTGAGGCGTTCTTTTCTAATGACACTTGAAAAATTCTACCGACTAAGTAAACAGAACAACAGACTAACAATTTCGTGCTTTATCTAAGCACTTTGAACGTTAAACTTCACTAAAAACGTAAATCTTCGATTCACAAAGTCGGCCGCTTGTATCAGGCCGCGAGACATTACGTGTTATTTGATATCGCCTGACTGTAGGTCATTACAATTACATTTTTTAAAGCTTTGGACTTACACAATCTCTGTTTTTTGTTTTTGTTGTTGTTTTTTTTTTTAAATTTTGCTAACGATAGCGTGCTCATCAATTTAAACATTTCGATTTTGTACCTTGATTGCTACGATGATAATGGCCATCGCTAGAAACGTGACAGTTTTCTCAACTCGAACTCGGATAAAGTTGTTTCCCGTCTCTTAATCAAACAATTAATCGGCCATTCTTTGAGATCCCGAATTCTCGACAAGACAGAGGCGGCGTACCCTCGGAGATTCAAGAAATCAGGAAGTTCCTCCATACCAGCTAACTGAATGGGTTTTATAAAGCAAAAAAAGAAAGAAAGAAAGAAAGAAAGAAAGAAAGAACGAGAGAAAGAAAGAAAGGAAAAGAATACAGTGTCATATACTTTAGGTGTTTTCCTGGTCAATGAAACCAATATTCAAGCTACATGTAGTTCGTCACTGCTGACAGGTACAGCTAAAACAAAGGGCTTCGATCTTGCTCACGTAAGGCTGCTTACGATGAACGGAGATATCGAGATACCGAAATATTGGAAGGCAACGTGAATATCGATGCCCGTGCTAAAATGAGATCGACTTCCGATTCAACATCATTCACGCCCACAGCCTGTTTGTGTGCTGAGATGTCTTTCTCACATAAGCGCAGAGGGACTATAAGAGAAGCTTTTCCTGCAACTCGACTTCGCTTATCTTGGGAGCAGCATCCCCCAACTAATCTTTGAAAGGAGCAATTGATTTCCATTTGGTACGCTCACCACTTAAAAAAATCGGCGGCCAAACGAAAACACGATTTTAGTTTGCTTTGGAAAATTTATGGCGCGACGCTCATTATATGGTTAGAAACTGTGCCTAATCTAATTTATTTTTTTTAGCGCTGAGTATTTTAGAAAGCTACTCTCAATTTAATTTTTCCACTCCTGCACCTGTCTACCCTGCAAGCCGTTACAATTTAAAAAAATAGGATAACACATTTTTTTACGTCGTTAAAAATTAATGCAGTGAAATTTCCTCTATGCTGTAGAAACATATACCTAATTCATTTAGCAGTCTAGGGTGACGCATGAGTGGTATCGCGCTTAAAAATGCAAACAACGGTAATTTTAAATTCTGGATTTAAAACTTTTTCCCGGAAATAAAAAAAGGGGAGAAGAAGGAAAGAGAATAAGAGCGTATTGGTAACCGAGCCTCCTTTCGAGTGACAAGTTATTGCGTGACACCATCGCAAAAAACGAACGTCAATGATTCATTTCATCTGTCAGGATGCTCTGGCTCGTTCTATAAAAAACAAACTTCCATTCTTATTGTGAAAGGAAGACATGTAAAATGTGAGTGTTCCAAGCTGAAATATGGTTATAACTGTCCAGCAATGCGACGTTTCCGGCAGGAACCTTCGTGAGATGTTTTCACTGTGATTTGGTATACACCGCCTGTAGTGCTGTACTATCGAAGCTGTTGTGAAGTCTCTTTATAACAAGATTGCGGTAAGGAACCAATCTTAGAAAGGTGTTTTTCGCCAGGTGAGCCTAAGAAATCCAGTTTACAATCTAGTATAGGTCAAAGCGATAAGATTTTGTTGGAATTATGGCTTCGATAATAAAAAGCCTAATTGGATTATCTGCGGTTGTTTACATGGCGGCATTGCGATTTGCACGAAATAGACCGGGCTACTTCTTCGCAGTAATTAAGAGCCCCAAATTAATTTTTATATCCATGGAAAGAACATTCTTTCCACTTTGTAAAAATGCTCATCTCAAGTGATTCCGAGTTATACCAGGTAGGAAAAATTTTTATTGAAAAACTGCTCCAAAATGTAATTTTTAATCAATCAAATTTTGGCTATTTTCAAATATTCGCCAATAATTCATAGTTATGTCAACAAGCCCGTTATTAGATTCAAATCATTTTTTAATACCTCGTATACAAATAGGTAAAATTCAGAAAGACTTGCTTTCTTTTGCGCTTTTGAGGAATAAAGGTTTTGTTGCCCTACTCGTCGACTTCATTTCGGTCATTTTATGACGGTTGGGGCTCGATACAGTGTTTGGTGATTTTCTAGAAAATAAAAACAGCTCTGAACAAAAAAATTATACCACTTTTATAGACTTAACCTAAGGTATCTCTGAGTGAAATATGAGGATAGTGATTTTTCCGATCATGTGCCACCTCCCACGCGGTGATAAAAAAAATTCGCTCTTAAGGTTCCTAGCTACTTTCTCAAAGTGCAAAAATACTTATCAATATTTGCTTCCTGAAATGGAGGTACTCACTCAATATACTTAGCGACATCAGATTTCTCCCTTGAGTTTTCACTGCTAGGGTCTAACCTTAATTTCATATGTACCTCTGAGCTTTTTCATTTCTAGTTCATGTTGCGATGGTAGTCTCTCTTTCTTCAGCCGTTCTTTTCTTTCCTTTTCTTTTCTCTTCAACTCTTTTTTTCATTCTCTTTCCTCTCTTTCGAGCCTTTCTTGCATTGCTAACTTTTTCAGTTCTAAGTCGAATTATCCCCACGTCGAATGCCCATATGTTTCTGACATTCTTTCCAACTTCCAACATTGTCTCTTTGAAAGCCTTAACATCTACTGAGAGTTTCACTCTGATGTGTTGTATCTGACGCTTTCTCATCGCTTTCTTAACTACTTACTCTTACTCGTTAATAATTAAGCTCATCTTTCTTTAAATCGTAGAGCGTATCTTCGTCGGCTTTGAGCTAAATACCTCTGGATTAAATCGTGACATCTTGCTATAATCTATGAATACTCTTACAGAGAGTAAATTCTCCCCAAAATAATCTACAACAAACTCCACAATAAGATTTTCTCCCGGAAAGACACCCAATTTCTGTTACGGTATAATGTAACTGACAGAAAAACACCACAATTCCACAAACTCAACTACTTTACTAAACAGCAAGGAATGTTCTTAACAAGGAGCGACTAGAAAGAGGAGTTCAATACTTATCATTAATGGACTTTATTAAGCCCACTACAGTCTGTATCCTTGCTCACCACCGAAACAATCTCACTTCTGTCTCCAAAGTTCCTTGAAACAAGCAATCTTCCGCAGTAACTCTTTCTCAGCATAACTTTCAAAACAGTCGTCGCTCCGACAAGAACAACTCCTACTACTACATAAGGGAGTCTTTATATATATATATATATATATATATATATATATATATATATTTATATATAAACATTATGAGAGGAAAAAAGGACGTAACTACATTTGGGAAATGTAGTTACGTCCTTTGTTCCTCTCATAATATTTATTCTGCTCTGCTTCAACGTATTGAGCACTGTTCCACGCGAAAATCGACTTTCAGACTTCCTATATATTTATATATATATATATATATATATTTATAAATTGTTCTGGAACCCGCTAGAAGCTTACAAAAGAAATATTTCAGAGGTATTACTAAATAACTGCGTGAATTGCTGAAATGTTCTAGAAAGTTCTGTAATACGCAAGTCAGCATGACTGAGCAGTCCGAAGATTGCTAGAAGCTCATATTTACAACAATTATTCTTAACAATGCATTAAGCGTGGGACAATAGAAAAGGAACGAAGCACCACTATATGTGGAAATCTTGTGCTAAAGTGTTCATAGTTCTCAATAATGAGTACTGATGTTAGTGTTGCTAGAAGAGACACATTCGAACTAAGAATTAATGGACACGAAAGGGAAGAAACAAACTTTCTTTTTTCTAGAGGGGAATGGCATTAAGTGACTTTGTTCTATAAGTGCAATAGGTTAGAAGCATCAACAACAACAAGAATAAACAAAGAAGCAAACCTTTATTTTTACGAATAACTGAGTGAAATCAATGATGCTTGCCTTTAATTTATTTTGAATAATCCATTTGCACAATAATTCTGACTGTTTAAAGGCTACTTTATCAAGCAGCCGAGATGTTTCTTTTGTGCACGCACAATACAAAACAAAAATTGTCACCATAGAATGCTAAGGATTATCTCTAAAAATTAGTGAGACGTAATATCTCTAAGCCGCTGGATTCCCTAATGTGCACCAAAACTTGGATCGACAGTGGTTTAGCGAGGTGAGGTCTGCACTGTTATCGACACGATATTTGTCACAACAATAAAACGACTCAAACAGAGCATGATCATCACGTGGCACGTTGACGCAAGCCGCGTTGTCTTTACCCTTATCGACAACAGCAAATTAGCCAATCAGATTGCGACACCACTTCCAATTGTTGGAAAAAGTGCCTTTTTTGGTTCAAATAGATATAGGAACTACGGTCGTGTTGAAGAGTTTGACAGTGGGGTCTGGGGAACAACTTGCGATGATACGTGGGATACAAATGATGCAAGTGTGGCATATAAACAGCTTGGCTTCACTGGAGCTTCCTCTGCTAGCACTAGTGCAGCACATGGTCAGGGATCGAGTCCTATAAGGAGAGATTACATGAACTGCGTCGGATGGGAGAGCTTATTATTCTTGTGTACATTCACTTAGGAAGGATTTAACCATTGCCATCACGGCGAAGATTCAGGCGTGATTTGTTACTTATAAACGTGAAAATTGAACTTGTTCAAGGTTTAACGCACATTTGCTTGAACATGAACTCGAAACAGACATGATCACTCAGCGTTCAGTTAACTCACATAAGAAAGTATCCAAACCAAGTCTCATCACATAAATTAGTATACAGTAGCACTGTTTTCTCTTTCAGAACGTCAATTTAAGACTAATCTTTTTCAAGATGTGATTTGAAAAAGATAGTTACATTAGCTCCTGTTTTCATGGTGTGCCTCTTAAAGCAACTCTTTAAAACCATAAATTCCCATGAAGCTGCTATTGTACAGTGTAACCATTCTTTTTTTTGTACATGGCACTATTATTTTTACGGTTGGTTTTACATTGTTTTTTCATGCTCTAGTTTTTCTCCGTGATCACTCCTTTCAAACAAAGTGAAAATAGTATTATGTATCGAAAAAAATCATTTTAATAGTTAATTCGTTTAATTCCGGTCTAGAATGAAGAGGGAATAAAAACAGTACCTTTAAACTTTTGTAGCGTCCATCAATGGAAATAAGCAAATTTTGCTACAACCCGAGAAAAAAAAGGAAAACGACTCTCCACAAGAATGCCAGATAAGCAAATAAAAAGTAAACTCGCTGAATTTTATCCCTCGTGTTCCTGTATTATCGCCCGTATTACAGCTATATCCTTGTCGCCAAATTAGATGCACTCGCGTGCTTAGTAAAATAAGTTAACAAGTCATTATGAGGATTTGTTATTGTTTGTATAACGCACCTCTTTCATCAAAGTCCCATCAAAAGCAGTGTTCATATAAAAGGTTATGAACGAAAACATGAAATATAGTCTGCACTATAAGAAATATGAAATAAATAGTTTAAGGCAATTCATTAAATTACATGCAGTTTACTTGGGCCAGCCATCTTTTCGCTATTCGTTAAGTCTAAATTGTGGCCTATATAATCATAGTCAAAGCAACCAAAGGTGCAGTAGATATTTGTACAAACAAAGAGATGTTTGTAAAATTTGGATGTATTTTAAATATGAAACTAAATTCAATTTTCCACGAAAGTAACGCTTGCTTACCGAGAGGCGTTCTCGGAGACAAGATTAACTCGACCTGCAATTAACTCAATGATTGCAAGAAGACTCCGCCCATTATAGGAAAAAAACATGACTTTTAATGTATTGTAATTCCCTAGCCACCTATCAATTCTCACCGCTGGTCGAAGTAGAATGAGGTCTCTCTGTGTGCTGACGGTATTGATTGCTTTTCTCACTTTCAAACGTGACTCTCCCCAGACAACGAATGGCTTCACTGAAACCATATTGTACATAGGAACTTTAAAAGTGCTTTCACAACTTCTGATCATGAACAGGTCATTATGATTAAAATAATTTTCCCTGCTGCTTTAATCGTCTCGTATTAAATACATGGCCGATTAACACTCCTTTTAAGTACATCGGTCCCGCCAGTGGTTTGTTGGTGGGTTTTTATTATTATAAAGCTCTTGCTAAAGAGGATTTTCAAAATTCTGGAAAGGTGTGAAGATTATTCTTTTGCAAAGAATTTTAGTAAAAAAATAAATCACCACAGTCCTGATATATGTATACAAGTTATTTCAAACAAAGCCTATTTGAATTAAACAGAAAAATCATACTAGCAATTACTAAACTTGTCAATGAATTTGTTTTGGCTATTTTTGATTTAGTTACTTATCGCTAACACGGGCAAAAGACCATCGGTACCGAGTTTTTGGCACCGATGGATTGTAGGGGTTCTTTCATACCTCTAATTGCATCCAATTGTACCTGTGAGTTATTCCTCGTTCTTCAAAGACCACCAAAAAACCATTCTATGGTTGCTCCCCGTTTTCAAACAGATGTTAACTTCATTTCGTGATCTAATTTTTGTGTAAATTCGCATTAGATTAATTTTTGGCGAAGCGCAACTTGGATCGAAGACTCGTCGTCTTTCTCTAACCGGGCCTCAAACATCAATATTATGTTAACAAACTCAGGATAAGTTTACTTTTACAAGCTGGCCAACCCATAAAGGATCCAAAGTTGCTGTAGAGGCCTTGCTTAAATGTATCGATTAGAAATTATGTTATGTTATGGGGAAGGAGATAGTGTCATTCATTCAAAAAATTTCTCTTGAAATCATTACGGCTGTTACATGGGAAGAGACGAGCGTTTCCTGTTTGGTCCCAGGAAGGTGCAACATAACAGCTTAGGGGGCCTTGGGTTCATAAGCTTAGATTTTCATCAAAATTTGTTATGTAGAGATTAAAAAGACCATAAGAAAAAATTTCAATGCTAGCAGCTTTTTTAAGATTCTTTCCTCATCCTCAAGTGTCCATTTTCCTTAGTAGCAAACAGCTAGCGTCGTTTGGAAATTTAGACACTCTAACTGTTAAAGACCTGTGAGATAGATAAATGATCGACGTCACCGAACGAATCTTTTTGCTTCTTTACTGTGAAAAACAAATAGATTTTATGTTGCCACAGATCTCAAATGACGTCAACATGTTATGCAAAAACAAATAGTGAAAATCTTGAGGGCGCAACTGAGTGAAGCGCTGATGATTATACCCACACTGAGTCAATTAAGAACGTCCTTATTTTTCTCATTATTATCATTATTACAATTATTGTTATTACTGTTAAAGTATCAATAAAGTTAAAAGAAATGTTAAACTATGATCTCACAGGATAATTAACTCACGTCAGGATGGATTTCTTGAAAAACTATACCACATAACTATAAAAATTCCAAAAAAAATTAAAATTAATCAAATTTAAAATTACATCAAATTTAAGATAAAAAACTGTTCGAATATGGTGTTCATAGTGAGTACCTTATCGTTAATCTTAGCTTTGTGCGAGGTGTAAAAAGCTTTAATTTGCATTTTTAATGTTGTGCGCCAAAGCTGTCATTCAACGAGCGTTTCAATTAAATTCCCACGCATTCAATTATCTTGACATGCTACAGATAAATAATTTACAATCGTTAATTTCTCGGAAGGCACAACTGAATGAAAATATTCAGTTTGTGGTTTTTCCACTAGCCGGTTAGGAATATAGGGGACGGTCCAAGGAAAAAAGATAAAGGAAGAACATAATACTTGAGTGCCGCCTTAAATGAAAAAGAAAAAATGAAAAATACTTCGAAGGAATTTACTTCTATCTTCCCACTAATAGTGAGAAGATAAACACAAAGGAAGCCGAACTAATTACAAAATAAAACTGCTTGAGAGGTAGGCATGCAAAATGCAAAATACATGATGCAAGCAATTACTCAGGATCGCTGTCATATTGGCTTTCAAAAGAAAATTAACTAATTACAGTCTCTTGCTTGCATCAATAATGATTCATCTGTCCTTAACCAGATTTCGTGGAGACGATGTCGCCCCTAATGTATTTCTGACAATTAACTCATACCTGAGGTTCAGTAAATAATTCACGACGAAAAATGTGTAAATATATCTCTTGGCATTTATTAAATTGATGTATTTATAGCAAATCGGCGTAAACACGAGGCATTATGTTGGGCGTGCTTGTTTGAATGAAAGTTCTCCAAGAGCGCATCGCAATGGACCTCGTCGTCCTGAACATCATAAGCATTCTGGCCTTGATGTTCTTTCCAATGAAAACGAAAGGTAAAAAATTTTTTGTTTTTCTTTTACACATCTTCTCGATTGAATCATGTTTCAAGGTCGATTCTGTGTTCTGATTCAGTTCATAGATAATAGATTTTTCAATAGCGCGAAGGTGCCGCAACACCCAATTTTGCACGCTGGTGGCGTTTTTCTTCCTTTAAAGATTAGTGGAGGATATTTCTCCCCAGAAATCATGCAACAAAACAATTGCGTCATACTTCAGGTGTGCGTTAGTCAGGTTATGAAACACTTTGGAAAGTTAAGAAAGGCTTCAAGAACCAAGAGTTGCATTTGTATTCGCCTTGAGGAACTCTTGCGCAGCTTTCGAGCTCTCCAAATCTCTCGCGTATCAATAAGCGCCTGCTGACGCATGGAGCAATTGTTAATTGCTAAGATTGTTCTTATTTTCCACTTTTTATGTCGATTATCACAAATAGGTCAACCAAAGACTATTGACGCACTTGGGAAAGGCATAGAGAGAAATGCTCACACTGGTGTCGCTTTTGCCAGATTTAAAGCTCACAAACTGTCCCACCTGAACATAACAGCACTTGGAGCAGATTATGTCCACAGCAGTAAAGATTGTGGACTTGCCTGTATCAACACACCGTCGTGCTTTTCTTTTAACCTGGCTGCCGTTGTTGATATGAACAGTAAAATCCTTTGTGAACTGCTTCCCTCGGACATCCACAACAACTCGGACAAGCTGGTTGCCAATCATCTTTTTCATCATTTCAGCATCTGGGTAAGAATTTATATTTTATTAATTTTAGAGAACTGATGGTGGTTTTTCCTAAAGATGTGGGAAGTTTAAGTCGGGTTTTCTCAGTAACTGCCTTTATTAAGAAAACCCGGCTTTTATAGGGGATATGGAGACAAAATGGAAGCGTCCACGTAAAACGATTGTGCAACATGTGATCGGGTTTTAGCACCAAGATTCTTACACTGCATTATCAAACATCTAGCTGTCTAACGAAAGTGGCGGTTAACCTTTTTTGATGCTTTGTTTTGTTTTGTTTTATTTTGTTTCTTGACTCTTTTATCGTTTTTTCCTGACTTAATCAGTAAAGGCAAATAGGATCTGAGCCAATAGGGAATCGCTGCGTTGGGATAACTCTCACTTAAACCCCCTTTTGAATTAGCTTTTATTTTGGCATTTTCTTTTGTATCAGAATATGTCGGTTTACGCATGTTGCGGTGGTAGTTGCACCTCGTACAATATACAGATATGATGAATGTGACGAATGAGAGAAAAATGCTCTGGTTTTAAATGAATCAGTTATGAACAACTCGGTAATTAAACGGCGATACTTCCAGACTATTTGTCTTATCACAGGCTCTTTCATGAAAAGCGGCGACAATGTTTGAGAATTATATTTGTGACCAACGTGTATGAGGTAGCTGAATTTCACAATCAATATGGTGAATTTTGAACAGCAAAAGCTTCAATTCACTAAAAAATTAATGTTCTTGACTGATACGGAATTTATCGAAAGAAAATGCTGAGTTAGCATGTATCACAAAGGTGACTAGCGCTTTTCGAGCGCGCTGATTGGTTAATTTGGGCGTAGTTTGCAAAGAATTTTCTCCTCCGAGCTGCCCAATATTCAAAATCGCACATAAAGGTGAAATTTACGTCCATGTTTCTTAGCACTGAGAGTTAATTAATCTTATTTTTGATATTGGAGAAAACAATCATTTACCTCAGTGTTGATGAAAGTGTGAATATTTGCTAAGCGGCTTCGCGGCCCAGTAAATATCCACCACTGGTCACCTAAGCTTTGGTAAATAACCATAAACTATTTTAAATCTTTTGGTATGTCAGGGTAACACAAGCATATTGCAATCTAGAGCTCCTTCGCTTTCCTAATTTTTTGTCTTTAGTCTCCGTGCTTAAACAGGCCTTGTCAAAACAAAGGCACCTGCCGTTCAAATTACGAGAGCAACAGTTACGTGTGTGTTTGCGCGGAAGGATACACAGGAAGTAACTGCGAAGCAGGTAGGCAACGGTTTCTATTTATCATTCATCTTTCCTTCTTTCAAAGTTTTTTCTTTAATTTTCTGGCATCTGATGCTACATGACATGGCGCTAAGATTACGCTTGAGCCCTATCTAGGTTATATTCGATCATTTAATTCAGTTTGCGTGTCAGCAAAAATCCGAGCTTCCAGCTCGAGGTTAACGCTTCAAAATAATTAAGGGCCATTCGTATGTTTTACTTTGGTTTAAAATGACTAGTTTCTCAGTGGTTTTTCGATGAGATTTACCGACATTTTAAAATCAGTGGGCACAAAAGCTTCAGGTACAGGAAATGCAAATGTTAACTTTCCCTCGATATCTATGACAACAAAAAGACATGGCAGTCTTCCAAGTTAAAATTTTCACGTTTCCGTAGTCATTGAAAAGAATATGACACGAAATTTTCAGTCACTCTGACACGACCTAAAGATTAACTTCAATTAGAAATATAAAGGAAAATGATAGCTTTCCAGGGAAGATAGAGGAGACACATTAGAGAATTAATTGAAGCACGAGGGAAATTTTTTTATTTCTAGAAAGGAACGAAATTAAAACACTTTGTTTCATAAGTCCAGAGAGTGAAAAACAACAGCAACAGAAGTAAACAAAGAAGTAAGCCTTTACTTTTACGAATAACTAAGTGTCTGGATACCACGTTCAGCTAGTTAGTCTTTTCAAAGATCCGTGTTTAATTGAATGGACAAAAGTTTGCTGATAGCTGATGAAATTCATTACTTCTTTTGCGATTGCCTCTTTTCCACACACAATCCAGGAAACAAGAATCATGTTAACATGTTGCTCTGTCCAAAGCAATTTTTTCCTTTTACACTAATTAAGAAAAAAAAAAAAGAACCTAAATTTTCAATATTTGTTGCAATGCAGGTGTTTGACCAAATTAGAATCAGAAACTAACCCATATCCCCGAGCATGTACCAACAACCATAACCGGCTTTGGAAACTCAACACTGACAGCACCCTCTGGCCTAAAGATAACACTAGCAAATGCCTCTTCCTGACTGAACCTGGAAAAAGTGATCTTTCCTCCAGCTTTTAAGTGTTGCCTTGCAATTCCAACGATCTTAACAAGAAGTTCAATTTCGAGAACCCGACACGACAGATGCCGAGTGAGCCTACGTTGCACACGTTCTTTAAACTCAAGGCGAAGAATGACGGGTTCACCTCTAATGATTGGCAAGGGCAGAATCAGTGCTTGGCCCACAGACCGATTGGAGTCCACAACCATTCGCCTGTGGTCGTCCTAGTCCACCAAATGTGTACTGGTGTATCAGTGAGGTCGTTCCAATCTCTGAGTACGGATAGTTTAAGTTTGAGCCAGTTTCAGAGTAAACCAAAGTTGTGCAACGGATCATGCAATCGAAGAAATCTGAACGATATGATGCGAAAGGGAATAAAAATCATTTCTGTGACTAGAAAGCTGCATAACAGCTTCATAAAAATAAAGATTATGCGCCGGTGAATAGCTTGTTCATTTTTCTTTGTGGCAGAATGCAAATAGCTCTTAACAGCAATTCTAGTAACTTTCAAGAATACGTGCACTGATGTAACAAACAAACTTTTACCATCCAGAGCTTCTTTGGTTGCCTATCGTTGATTCATAAGAAGTACCATATTTCCAAATCATGCATAAATAAAGAATCTAAATTTCCAGTAAATGCCTTAAAAACCATGAACACCAGAAGTTTCTATGAAATGGAATCGTATTTCAACGAAAGAGCCCGGATTTGTAAGGCGTCAGAAAACCAGAACGCCATCAGTAACAGATTATCCTTATCTTTTTTGTGATTGGTCAATACATAATTGACCTGACAGTATCAAATCAAAATGCTCACGGTTTTCAGAGTTTCATTATGTGAACTTTCTTTGCACAGCAGAAGTAATGACAATAATAATAATGATGATGACAATAGTGAGAATAACATTGACAATAACGATGAGAATGACGACAATAATAATTTAAACTTACGAAAAATAATTGTCTCAACAACATCATGCACAGTTGCCATCGCAACGACTCAAACTATGCTGGTCACACTTTGGATCCAGGAGGAACATTTCATCACCGTTCGCCTCATCACGATCCATTCCATCATCAATAGATTCTAAAAAAGAAAATTTTAATTTCCGTCATAAAAATGGCTGTATTTTTATTTTTTGGCCAGTCCTTCAACAGAAGAAGTATACTTAATGAACCCCATAATTGTTATCTAAAAAATCATCATTCCTAATAAGAATTCAGAGGAGTGTCTTCCTTCCCTCACAAGGCCACGACTAGTAACGACTTACCGTCTACGTCCATTCGGTGAAATGGAGATCGCGATGCCACAGACGCTATTAGTGGAGCCAGGGTAACAAAGCAAAATATCTTCATGGTAAATTTGGGAGGCAAGTAGTTCGATTAGATAATCTGAGAAAAATGAAAGGGTGAAAATTATTGAACGAAAGGTTTTTTTTGTTGGGTCTCATTCGAGTAAGGCCTAGGGATAAGGAACCAATTGGAGCACTCACAGAAAATCGAACCCCACACTCAAGAAATTCACGTGATGGTCTACCACTCTGCTAAAGAGAATTTTTTAGTCAGCAAAGTCATTATCGAGTTCCTGTTTGACAAATGTCATTGCAAGCTGGTATTGTAGGATCATGGATAACTAGTACAAAGTTTTCCCTAGGTCGATGAATGAAGAAAGATGTCATTTGTTTTTGTCATGAGACTGACAAAGAAAGAGTCCCCCGTTAAAATAAAAGCTTTTAAAGTATAAACACAATGAGAATCACGCGTTAAATTTAATATCCTCCGTTTGGGAGTAGGTACAAATTTGGCCTTACAAATCATCGAACCCAAAAGAAAAACCGATAACGGGCATCGTGTGATCTCTCGGGGACTGAAGTTGGTTACGAAGCAGTGGATGAATCATTACGAAGGTTGGCACAACAAACATTACTTTGGGGCGTTGAAGTGTTTTTTTTTTTTATTAAACGCACAAACAAAAGGCTCTCGGCCAAAACCCTCGACACTTTGGTGACGTTGGAGAGTGCCGTTAGGTTATTGAATCGCTGCGTGGCTTGTGCTTTGGCAGATATACTTGGCAAGGAGTGATTTTTCTCTCTTACGTTCTTCCATATGCAGAAAAAAAAAATAACAAAATAAACAAATCTCCTCTTTCCTAGCGGCGTTTATTATGATCCTTTTCACGCTCCAAGAACAAAAGTCCCATATCATTAACTTATCTCTTAATCTCTGTTGAGAATTTGTCACTGATGTTAACGAAAATTTAAACACACGCTCAACAAATATATTCAAGAGTTACTAAAGAAACCACGTTTACAATGAAAAGACACTTCCTTTTATCTTTTAACACCCAATTACCTGATATCTAGTACAAAGCCCTGCTTAAATCGGTACCGAATTTTTGGCAACGATAGATTATAGGGCTTGTTTGACGTCTCTAATTGCGTACAATTGTACCTCTGTGTTATTCCTCGTATCTCAAAGACCACCAAAAAGGTGGAATTCAATGGCCTAATATCGCATGGTTGCTCCCCGTTTTTAGCCAGATATTGATTTCGTGATTTAATTTTTGAGTAATTTGTATTAGATAAATTTTGGCGGGGCACAACTTGGATCGAAGACTCGTGATTTTTCTCTAACAGGGCCTCAAACATCAATATGTAGTTAACCAACCCAGGATAAGTTTCGTTTTACAAGCCGGCCAACCCATAAAGGACCCAAAGTTGTTCTAGACGCCTTGCTTTAATGCATCAGTTAGAAATTATGTTGCTATGTTAGGGGAGGGAGAGAGCGTTTATATATAATTCAAAAATTGTGTCGAAAAACCACTACGGTTGCATGGGAAGAGACAAGTATTCTCTGTTTGGTCCCTGCAAAGTGCAGCTAGAAGATGAAGATGCCAAGTTTGAAATCAACGCGGCTAGTGCAGGAAATTTGGGTAGTTTCCTCGAAGGGAATTATCGCATGATACACGGCCGAAAAAACAAGTCGGGTGGGCGATCTTAAACACCTCAGCATTTTCCAAGGCTAATCTCCACCTCAAACTAAGGTATATGCCTAACTTCTCAGGAACACGTCAGACTATAACTGAGTTGCAATGAGTTCCGGAACAGCGCTTCTTTAACAAGTTTTGCAATTGAAAGGTATGATCACTTGTTACTTATAAAAATTAATCACCACGCTAACCTCAATAAGATGCGACTTCAACGATGGGTGGGCGAATAGCAAAATGGCCTGGGCTGTAGTCGCTAACAAAAAAATGTTTTGATATTTACATCTGCGAACCACTAAGGACTTAGTCCCTCGGGGGACACACAAAAATATGGTTACGTGCGAACCGCATATTAAGGGAGGGCTTTGTTTTAGCTAATAACTGAACCATATAGAACCTTTTAATGTTCGTAAATGTGTTTACATGAATCGACGACGAAACGTACGTTTAAGGTTTTTCTCCAACATAACGGCCTAGGCAACTTGGGTTCATAAGCGTAGATTTTCATTACAAGTTGTTACGTAAAGATTAAACAGACCTTTAAGACAATTCAAATTTTTAGCAGCTTTTTAGTTCTTTTCTTACCCTCTATTAGTCATTTTAATTATTAGCAAAAAAAAATGGTTTTGTTTGGACATTTAACAGGAAACTCTAATTGTTAAAGACTTGTTAGATAAATGATCCACGTTACCGTACCAAATTTTTTGCTTGTTTATGTTATAAAACAAATATAGATCCCATTTTGCCACAGATCACAAATGACGTCAAAATGTGATAAGAATACAAAAGTTGGCATTCAAGGCGCAACCGAGTGAAGCGCTAATAATCATACCCGCACTTAGAGTCAGTTAAGAATGCCTTTATTTTGCTCATTGTTATTATTATTAATATTGTTATTATTATTTTTGGATAATTAACAGGATAATTAACTCACGTCCGAATATTGATTTATTGAATACTATACCACATAACTTTGGGAACATGTTAAGAACGTTTCCGGGCTTAAATCGCGAAAAAAAATTTTAGCTCTCAGCCCCACATTGCACATTCTTATCAATGAATAATTAAATTAATTAATTAATTAATTAATAATTAAAAAATACTCTATAAAATAAAGAAGCAAAAAAAATCAAAACTTAAATCCAATTTAAGATCAAGAAACTATTGAGAATACTAATGCTAAAAGTTTCTTTTTCTTACTTTGGACGCTAACATCAAGCTAAACAAACGAGATAGGCCGTTTTCGTTTTCGTGTTAACTCCTCAGTCTTCGCTTTCCAATATTTGATTCAGGAAAATCTGGAATGATGGAAACAAAGGCGAAGCGCGCATTTTGCTGATAGCCATTCCGCGGTTGTTAAACAATTTTTGTGGGGCTTTCCCTAATTTTTGAAGCAAATTTGCACAGTCAGCATGTGAACAGTCATTGTGCACAGTCAGCATATGCATATGCTGACTGCTGCAAACCTGATTTTCCAGCAGATGTTTGTTGTTGATTACTTCTCAAATTTTCCGTTTCAGTAAGCGGTATTTTCACTGTACTGCACAGTTATGGGTCACAACATTTTACTTCTCTCTGTGATTTTTATTACTCTGGTGACGTTCGGCTCAGGTAAGCAGTAATACATTAGCGATGACTGAATTCGTGATATTGACATCAGAACACTCTTAGGGCCGCAAGCGAAACAAATACTGTACACACACTTTTCTAATGGGTCGCTGAGGACCAACAAGAACTTGTAATAAATCGATGCCTGCGTACGAGAGATCTTAAGGAAAGAGGCGCTGTCAGAAATTCGATGATTCATTCTTTTATCAAAGGAGAAAAAGCAGAATTCGTAGATGAACAAAAATTGTAACTTACGCGTTTCGAGATATCGAGGCAAGTCAGTATTAATATGTTGAAATTTCACATTGGAGAAAAATCGAAAATGTAATTTACAACAATGTTAAGTTAACATAACTTACTCGTTTCGAAATCTCAAATTTTACAACCTAATACTGGCCTTCCTCACCTTAGAGTCTCTGTTTGTCTGAGATTGACCTTCGCAACGCGTAATCCGAAGGTTTGAGGTTCGATTTCTTTCAGGCACTCTTATTTTGGCATTACGCTCGTTACATGACAAAAAAGGGAAACATATTTCTTTATTTTCACTTTTATTCATAGATAATTTGGTGGCTCATTCAGTTGGAACCATCTCATATTCTTCATTGTCAGTAATCCTCCATGAAAACATCCACCGATATAGCGATAAAATATTGAACGCGCTTTAAATCGCAAGCGTAGGAAATAAGATGTTAGCAAGATGTTACTTCCAATGGTTGGGTGGCTGCAAGTATTGATCGTAGGAAACGCTTATTATATTTCAGTTAGTAGTGGTTTATTCCAAAACAAAAACATACAAACAAAAAAAAACCGCCAAGTCATGCATTAAAAATGTTTAGCCTTTTGAGCCTTTGACAGCTGTTTTGGCTTTTGCGTGACTGTTACATATTGATTCTGTAAATGATATCACAAAAACTATGATCTAACCAAAAAATTTTGGGTTGACTTAGTATGACGATAGATTATGGCTGTAATTAGTTGAGTTATTCTTCCGCATCAGACGTTCGTTTCACAAGAACAGTTTGCTTACAAATTAAATCGTGTGTATTTCCGATCCCTTTTGTTTTTTTACGCACTGTTACAATTGCATGCTCCGAGTGAAACTCTCAGCTTAGCAGGTCAGCGTTAAATTTACATATTTTTTTTCCAGTTTAATGCTTTGAAAATTACGAAGTTTATTTTGAAAACATTCATACTACTTAACACTAAAACACCACCAAGACATCTCCTTTTTCCGGTGTGAACGGTGTATGTTATAAACCACCAAAGCTATACAAAGACCTGTATTTCACGCCTCTTATCCTAATTATCTTAAATCATTTATCGAAGCGAGCATATCTGTTCTGAATCGCTAAAACGTAAATAATAAACTCGAATTCGTCTTCACAGTGGTTTGAAGACGACAGTTACCATGAAAATGAACTGTTTTATTTAATAAAGAGTGAAATGGCACTAATAAAGGGCTTACTGTAATTTGTGAAACGAAACGAAATGAAATGAAAATCTGTAATTTGCGATTTCTATTTTGCAAATCATTAGCATAGTCAGGGACTCGCTCTACAGACGAAAAAAAAATAGCATTATGCGTTTCGCAGATTGATCATCAGATCAAAATGACCAGCTTATCGCTAAAAACCTCTATCGTGGAGGATAATGCCGTGAGAAGCTAAATTTAATAAACCAGTTATTATGTAATTTACTTTGTCAAACTGATCATTTATTACGAGCATTTCTAGAACATTCGCAGTCTTTCGTGTTTTCTAAAAATATCTTTTCTTTCGAATTTGGCCATTAATTTTGTTCCAGCAAGCAGTTAATCTCACAAACCGGTTTACAGCTGCTTCTGGCTATTTTTAACCTTGCTTTGTCAGCACCAGCAAATCGTTGCCGACGTTTTGGACTTCCTTCTCTTAAATCACGCCTGTCCGAGTAATTCAGAGTAATCTAATATTAATTTTGCTATTGAAAACAAAATAATTTTTATGTGTAAACTCTTGGAACCGAACATGAGTATACTTCCTTCAGGAATATCCGAACACGAAGATGTTCATCAGTTACTCTAAGTGAAAGCAAACGTGAAACCACTCGCGTTTTACTATGTTACGTCATAGTAAAGGACGTGATGCAGAAATTCTTATGACAAAAACAAAACATAATCTTCATTCGACAACAACTGCGCGCGTACAAAGATGTCTTTCAGTTAGCAGTGATTTATTTTAAAAAAAAACCACAAGTTACGCATTAAAAATGTTTAGCCTTTTGAGGTTTGACAACTGTTTCGGCTTTTGCATGACGGTCACAAATGAATTCTGCATGTTGATGATATCATAAAAACTATGATCTAACCAAAAATAATGTCGGGTTGACTGAGCATGATGATAGATTATGGCTGCTGTTAGTTGACTTATTCTTTCGCATTACGCATTCGTTTCACAAGAAACGCTTTCCTATCAATTGTGTAATGGAAGGCTGACAGCGAAAAGTGTGATAAATTTAGATATGAGGTGAGACTATCTTCACGTCACCGTCAATACAATAAATATTAAAAGAATGGGTTGAGTAGGGACAAAGTCAAAACATTTTGCTTGCAACAGTATCTTCGTCTTTGAATTGAAGACATGTGTTTCCGATCCTTTTGTTTTGCCACGCGCTATGACTGTAAACACAAGAGTCTGTTGCATTCGTTCATTTGCGACTAACACGCGTAGAGCTCTACAAGGGAAATTTGAAATATCAAAAGTGCAGCTATGGGAATGGGATGTAATGTTTTATATCTATCCGGGATTTTCATCACTTTGGTAGTTTTCAGCTCAGGTCAGTAAGCTGTGATGAAATCTGAAATCTCATAACAGGTTAACGAACACATTTTGATGTTCTAACAATAGCAGAAACCACAAATTTCTAAGACTCTATTGTTTACTGACATTGACAAGAAACTTTTGGCTTTTACTTCTCCGCTGTACCGCTGGGTTTAAACATATGACGTCTTCTTTGCCTCTTCGAGGGAAAAGTTGGAAAAGATGTAGTTCACCTTTCATTTTTGACCGATATTGGGCAGGTGATGAGACTATCATAACATTAAGCACGCGTTTCCAGATGGCCGGTTCTGAAAAATAATTCTAATTAAAATTTGTCGCGACATCTCATGATCAACAATGTGGTTGAAATATTGACCACGCAAGATGACTTGAGGCTACAATTATCTTTCTTCGCTTAACAGATAATTTTCTAAAGGGATCACTTTAGTTCGGTTGAGCTAGCATTCTTCCGTATTACAAATGCGTTTCAAACGTTTGCCAACAAAGACATTCCCATTGTACAATGCTGACTGTGGGTAGCGTGATACATTTTGACTTGACTTGAGGTTATCGTGACCTACAAAAAATTGGCCGTTAGGCGCAATTGACAAATTCTTAACCTTAAATCGTAAATAAAGTTAACAGGAAAATTTTTTTGCTATTAACCTTTACGGATAGAAAATAACCGTCAGCCGTAAAATGACCAAAAGTTTAAGAGCAAGAGAGGAAAGGAAGTGATTACACTTGAAACAGAATAAATTAGCAATATTTTGCTTTCCTCCAAATAATAACGTATAACGCTGCAAAAATATATATCAACATTCTGAAGGTGAAAGTACAAGTGAAAAAAATTGCAATTTTTGTCGTCACGTCATAAAAAGGATCGTGAGGCAGAAAGTCTTACGCAATATCAAACCACCACATTCATTCGAAAACGGCATCTTGAGTCGTAAACATGGATTTTCAAAATTTTTGGCTGTACGTCAGGTCAGAAAGAGAAATGGCTATAAGTTACACCTTGTACTTTTGTACAAACAGTTCGTAATTTATAGACATATGGTACTCTATAATTAGGGAGCGTTTAGCCCTTTAATAATGGCTCGTGTTTAGAGCGATTCAATATTTGTAGAAGATAAATACCCTTGTGACGAACTGATTTTAAGAAGTAAATGTAATTTATTAACAAAAGCGAATATTTACCCCCGGTACGAAAACGTGGTGAAATTGCTTTTGCTAACTTCCGTTTGACATGTCTACGCTCCCTCGACAGGATCTAAAAATACTGATGCAGGGAACCGGATCCTTGTTAAAATTGACGCAACAGACGTTCAAGTAACGTGCTCGATAAACACTGATGGGCTTCCCCTGAAATACTTTGCATGGTTTGAATGTCCAAATATAGAACAGATGAAACAGTGCAGAAAGGACCGGGACAAGTATAGAAAAGCTTGGATAAAAAACAGAACAGTGATCAATCACTATCCTGAGGAGTTTAAACTCAGTGTAAATAGAACGCTGAGTATACTGAGGATGTCACCAAAGTATGACGGAGCAGTATTCCTTTGCATAGGAGAAATTGAGCACCATGAAGCGCTAGAGAACACCACAATTATTCAAATAATCAAAGGTAGGATTATATTTCCTTTAAAACTCTACTCATCATTATGAAAATATAGCAAATGTGGGCAGTGCCTCCACGCGTCCAAACTTAAGACAACAGAGCACAATGCTTCTGTGCGCTGACGTTTCTACTGACAAAAAAGAAAAAAATTAAAATTTTTTTAAGATCTCAAAAATTGGTGATTTTTATCATTGGTACCCATGGTAGTACGGCTCATTACATGTATTCAACTTCTAGATTCTTTTTTGCTTTTGTTTCGTTTTTTTTTTTTTTTGCAGTAAATTCTACAAGATTGTAATAAATTGCCATCTAGTTAGCATGCGGGTTTTCAGACAAGTTCCGCAGACTTTTGAACTGTGTTATACAAATCAAGTTATCATCAAACTCCCACAATTGTTTGTTTTTCTTTCAGAGAAGCCCGTTATTAAGATAAAAAGTCCGCAACCGTCCTCGGTGATCGAGGGATCGACTCTGAACTTAGACTGCGTCGCAACGGGTTTTCCTCGTCCCCGAGTGACCTGGGTTCGAATTCGTGACGGGCAGGTGCTTCAAAATCGAACAAACGACGAGGCCACAAGTTTAGGGCGAAATTTCACCAAATGTGACGAAGGGGAATACCGTTGTACAGCCAAAAATCGTCTGGGAAGCGATAATTATATACTTCAAGTAATTGTCCTCGGTGAGTTTTTATTATTTAGATCTGAGATGAAGGGTACTCTCTCTATATATATATATTTATACAATTCGTGAGCGGGCGGTATTCTATAAATCCTGCGACCTGATTGGTTCCGAGAGCGGACATTGTCCTTATTATTCGTATTACTCTGTTGAGTAGCTTTGCACAGCATCTCTAGCTTCGTTGCAATTTTTTTTTTTTAATAAATATGAGTTGTTTTGTCGGCTGAGCATATTTTAAGCAAAGACTTAGATCACGACCTTTAGCCTGTAAATGATTTATTAATTCTCTTTTCTCTCTCTATCAAAACACTTATATTTTTACACAAAAATTTATTTCGAAATAAATTTTGTGGTACTAAATGTGATAAATGGATTGTCCCCCCTTCTCTCTCTTTCTCCTCTCTTTCCCCTTTTTCTTTCCTCCTCTTTCTCCCTCTTCTCTCTCCTCTCTCCTCTCTTCCTCTTCTCTCTTCCCCTTCTCTCACCCCCTTCTCTTCCCCCTTCTTTCTCCCCCTTTCTTTCTCCCCACCACCTTTTCTCCCTTTCTCTCTCCCATCTTCTCTCTCCCCTCTTCTTTCTCCCTCTTCTCTCTCATCTCTCCTCTGACCCCCTCTTTCCTCTCCCCTTTTCTCTCTCCTATATCTCTTCCCCCTCTTCTGTTTATTCTCACTCCCCCCTCCTCTCTCCTTTCTAACTTCTTTTTCAAATTTATGCTCCTAAATGAGATACACCTGTTTTACGATGCTATATGTTAAATCTTCCATGAAGGTAAAATTCCAAGCTCAGAGGCACCTGACCCTTCAGATTCTTCTCCCTCAGGTACGTATACCGTTGTTATTGGCCAAAAAACGGTTTGTTTCTTTCTTTACCTTTTTTCCTTGGGGAAAACAAAACTAACAAGGTAACAAAAACGAAGGTTTCTCAATTATACATAAACGGTTTTAAGTAGTGTGACAGAGTTCCTCTTGCTCTTTTGTGCCGAATTTTGAATTAGGCTTGTTTTCAAAGTTCAGTAAATCTGAGTATGCTATGCATGCGGTGAGGACTTTGTAACGCATTAGATGTTTAAATTGAAAACACCTTTCTTGATGAAGATAAGAGATTGTAGAAAATGAGTTTTATGCTTCAGACATTTTGCTTGAGCCTGGTTATCACGGTCAGTGAATATGGTAAACTGACAGGGAATGATTAAATATTTATTCATAGATGGAAGCAGCAAAGTGGGTTTTGGCACAGCGATAAAGAACCCCATAATACTCTCGTTGATAATTGCCCTGTCGATGATTTGCGTTATTCTTTCATATATGCTGTTAAAGCGTAAATGTAAGGATGTCCAAATTGGACGGAAATTCCGGAACGCATGTGGACGGATGTGCAGATGGAGAAGGACAGTCTATGTCGTTTCAGATACAGAACTTGAGAACAAGGCAGCCCCCTGATTGCGCAGGTTAATGTGTCTAACCCTGGAGTGCTTGTAGACAATAGACAGTAGCTATGGATATGTGGCAGGCCTGATCAGTATTCTATTGTACTCATGTAAATTTGCCCAACTAGCCTCAACTTTGAGTTAAGGTTTTATTGGTACTATGTGACAAAGCTAGATGGGCAAATCCATGTGAATACCAGATAATATTGTACATTTTATGCACATTGCTGCATCTGTGATACATTTATCAGTTCTACAGATAGAAATGGGGATTCTTGATGTCAATTACAAGCCTACACTGATAATTCTGTCGTAAAGTTTTTTTTATTTATTTAGTTCTTTTCATTTAATTTTTTTTCTATTTGCTTATGCGGTTAGCATTTCTATTTTCATTTTAGTATCAGATTATTTAAACCAAGAGAAACAAACAAAATTTGAATCGCTTTGTTTTCGATACGTCTTTTTCTACGCAGTTTTTGTAATTAATGCATATTTATTGCCCTAAAGCAGCCTTTTTCGCTGTATGTTTGTAAAAATTATTAAGGCTTTTCACCACAAAATATTTATAGAGCTGATAATTTGACTTAAAGATAATTAAGAATGTGAAAGTTATCTGACTGCCAAATGAATGTGTATTTTGAGAAATCCCTTTGAATTCAATTCCATGAGAGACTAAAGTAAAGATAAACAAGTGATGTTTAAAAATTGTGTATTTTGAAAAAAAGGATTTGGAAATAAAAATGAGTTATTTTGCTTTTGGGTTGTTTCTTTGACTCTCTGTTCGCTTCCTGAGGCATTTTTGAAAACCTTTCTTGGGAATTCGGATCTCGAGTTTCACGTTAACAATATTTTTGTTAGAGACCAGGAGGACTAGACAGTTCGAAACTCCTTTTCAAATTAAGCCTCACGGATGATGATGATATTAATGATAACAGTAATGAAAATGATGATATTGATAATAATGATGATGATTGTGATAATAACAACAATAATAATATATAATAATCGACTGTGAATATATGAAAGTCATATATTTGAACTTCGGATAAAGGCGTGAATATCAAAGAGATCTTTGCAGTAATGAACACTATTTGAGCAGTAGTGAAAATAAGGCCTGAAAGAAATTCAGGCTTGGATTTGAACCCATGACCTCTGCGATACCGGTGCAGTGCTCTACCTACTGAGCTAACAAGCCAACTGGGAGCTGGTTATCATGTTGGTTCTAAATAAACCCATGAAGTGGGCACTGCACCGGTATCGCAGAGGTCATGAGTTCAAATCCCGTACAGGCCTGAAATTTTTTCAGGCCTTATTTTCACTACTGCTCAAGTAGCGTTCTTTACTGCGAAGACTCTTTTATATTCACGCAATAATAATAATAGTAATAATGCGTTACTTGCATGGTGCGTGTGAATATGTTTCAATGCCCCTTACATATACATCCAAACATAAATATAAAACTTATGCCCATGAGATGTACATAAGAATAAAATTCATCAATAGATTCCATGTTGCCTTGCTTCTATTCAATACAAGACCATAGATGACGTGAAAATGAGGTAAGAACAAAAAAGTAGCAGTCGAGTGAGTCAATAACGTTCTTGCCATATTTGACGACTCCTGTGATCTGTTGCTAAACAGACCCACACTGAACAGAGCCACATTAGCATAGAGTCACTTGGATGACCTGGCACTCTGGTGAGTTAGTTTTGTGTGATAATTGTCGAACAAGTAGAGCTGTCACCACGTGAATGACGTCAGTCCTTATAAGTTCATTGCTATGACCTGTTTTACAAGATTGCTCTAAATTTCTACATGGTTACTTTTTTCCTCGGCTTTTATCGGCATATGGATCGCTTTGCTGTTGTTAAGTAAGCGGAGATTCCAATAACTAGACGGTGCGTGCTCTGTTGGTATTCATTAGTCAGTTCTCGGAAAAGACTGGAACTGCGAATCCATTAAAACTGATACGAATCAATGTCATAATTTTATGGAAGTTCGTCATTTCACGAAGCCAAGAAACATCAAGAATGAGGCTTATCAGGTTTTACATCCTGTTCTTTATATCTGTCGTGCCAGTTCTCGTAACAGGTTAGTTCAGTCGTTTAAAAGGCCTCAATCGAAGAGGAAGCTTCGAACGCATATAAGGGGAATTATAAGGAGCCACGTCGTGTAAATTTTCAGTGAACATGTGGTTTAGCAAAAGGCGGTAGCGACGGCAACACTTATAATTTAGATTTAGCTTCGGTGAGACGTGAATTTTGGAAGCAGTATTTCCTATAACCTTCATGTTCGACTATGAATATAAATAGAAAATAACACGTGGCCAAATCTTCCACTTGTCGAGTTTCGTTCCCAGCCTCGAGAAACGCCATGACAAAGCCACTGAATACATAACGTTCGTCGGGTTTTTCTTTTCGTTTGTTGGTTTTCTTCCCCTTCCAGAGAGTTTAAACGTCTCTGCCTGTCGGTTTTTAATGTTCTAGCCGCCATAATCCGATGAAATTCCGACAAACTAACTCGGATCGAGAATTGCCGTTCATTCATCAACCTGACTGAGTGGCACAAAAGGCGATTGACGTGTCAGCAGCTGATTGGCGATATCCAACACACCCGAAAAAATGTCGTATTTTCTCACGTGTGTTAACGTTGTTACGGCTTTTCTCAGGGTCGGAAAGCCTTGTATAGCATAGTAGTTTACATGATAAACGACACAGACAATCTCTAAATAATTAATGGCATAACCGCGTGTTGGGGTTCGGTGAGGATGTCGCTGTAGATGAAAAGTGTTTGACTAAACGTCCATTAAATAAGTGTACTATCATATTTATTTTGCAGTCTGCAAGTGTTGACTTTTCCGACTGAGACCCATTTAAAAGTAAAGTTAGGTGTTTGTCCTTTTCTGGCGCCATTTCCTTTCAAATGTTGATTGCCGGCTTTCAAATTTCTTCCATAATAGCATTAGCATTAGCATATCAGTTGTTATGTTGCTGTTATACTAATGCAATGCTAATGAGGTATAAATACTGAACATGTCCGGCCATTCTGCGCCATGAGAGAGTTGGTTCAACTATTCAAACATATTCACTAACTGATACTCTGAAGTTATAAATTAAAGCACAGTTCACGGTTCAGATACTTCGATTTATTTGATGACGCTCGTACCTCTAAAATATGACCTTGACTTCCATCAATGAATAATATTTGTATTTGAATGAATGTCTACTTTCGTTCATGGTTGATGAAGCTCTGTGGCGAGATGATTCCAGGAAAACATGGATCTTCTCAGAAAAAAACAATAAGGAAAATCATCGACCCAAATAGTTACCCTCTAATAGCCTAGAACTAAACTATGCCTTGCCCAAAAATAGTCTGTTTACTCAAACTCTAAGAAATGTCTATGGTAAAGAGGAAATGACCCAGGGAAACTTAATATTTAGAGGAGAAAAGTTAAGTAAAAAGCAACAACCTTAAATATTGAAGCCTTCTTTTTTTAATTCTGACAAGTTGCCAGCACCATCCAACCGAGACAGCCCAGTGCTACAACGACAGAGGGGTCAAGTTTTCTCTTCGAATGGGACTTTCATCTTCAAGATGAGGACGAAATAGAATTAACAGGGTTCATTTTTGGCCTTTGGGAGAATGGTTATACCACGTTTTATCTTATGACGGTAACCAGGCAGGGAAGAGTGATTTCTAATCCTCAGTTGAGCAAGACACATCCTACTTACGTTGGGCGAGTGACTTGGGTAGGAAACATATCGAAGTCGTATTTGGCCTATAAATTGGTGAACCTGACTTTCTCCGATAGCAACACATACGGATGTCAAATTGACGTGGGAGGTTTCCGACGAACAATTCATTCTAAGATCACCTTACATGTCCAGGTAAGATTCTGATGGCAAACTTGACGCGTATCTGCTTCTATGTACGATTGGACCTTGCCTGGCTAAGCCTTTAAGGCGCAATTATATATACACGACCTCTCACTTGCCCCAAGGAATGACGCCTCATTTTTATGTGGAAAGCTGAGATCAAGTGGCAAAATTATTTTGGGATACCATGCTTGTGGCAGCGGTATTCAGGGCAATTCTTTTGCAATTCAGGGTCAAATTTCCTTTTTTTTTTCTTTGACTTTTCATGTTCGTGTTTTAAATGGCGATTTAAAAACTTCAGCGCGAAATTTTTCTGATAAGGAGGTTTTGAAAAGTGCACTCAAAATGTAGGCACAGTATCCGCACGGTTTTAACGCATCTGTCATCAGAAGGTTCATATGTTTTAGAAAAATGCCGTTAAAGTTCTCATGAAAAGCATCTGAAAAGCATGTAAAAAATACCATCCCCTAAGCATCCTTTTCCACTTGCTGTGAAACTTGTTCTGGAAGCTTACATTGGTGCTCAACATAGTACTCGAGAAGTTAGTACTGATTTATGTACATTATTGGTTATGTTACTCAGCGTTACTACTACTATCATATCTAACAGCTCATTCCCTTAGCAAAAGATTTTATCCACTCAAAGACGTTCGAGTTGTAAAATTAGCTTTTCCGCTCAGCTCACTTTTAATAAAAATTTCGATGTTTGGGTGCTATTAGGTTAATAATAGCTCAGTCAAAGAAGGAGAGAGCTATCATACATATCACGTTCCAAGAGCACGAAAATGGGAACAAAGAGAGTCCGTCGGTCGGTGATTCATGTCGTTTCGTCGTTGCTTTCCCGAGCCGAATTTCTAGGAACTTACCTTAGATCCGTACATCATTAGTTAATGTGCTTTAAAATTTTTGCTTTTGTTCGTTTGTTTTTTCCTGTTTTTTTCTTCTGTAGAGGGCCTTATCAGAATTTCTCATGTGCCTTTTAATTGTCTTTCGTTTTTCCATCTTTTTCATCTTCTTCCGTTATAATGATAGGTTTTAGTATATTAGCCCATTATATTAAGTAACAAAAGGATGCTCCGTTTCTGTTTATTGCATGTCTTCTTGATACACTTTTGGATACTTGATTATCCACGAGAGGTAACAGCACTACTGAAGTGTTGATATTAAACTTGTGGCAACCAAACTGGTCGAAGTTTGCGATAAAGGAATGAAACGAATATAACGCAACTGAAATACTGGACCTAGTAAATAAGCTCAACAAATACTCACATGTCGCGAGATTGATTTAAATTTTCTTTTTTTTCTTTCCCAGGCGATAAATGCATCAAAAACACCTGAAATGAGTGTTTCTTCCATATGGAACCATGCTCCCAATTCTACATCGAGCAAATTTGTTCCATCATTAAAAGCGGGTAAGTTTCTTTATTAACTGTGTGCTTCTTCGTTCTTGGGTATGATCTGGTTTATCAATTAAGTTGGAAATTAACTTGGCCACCATAAAGAGTTTTAGGGCAGAGAAACCGCTTTATGGTAGCCAATTTACATTATCAACTCAGCTGATAAACCAAATGATGTTATAAATTGTTATCGTTTTGGCTCTTGTTCATGTTTTGTTTCATTATTTACCGATTTTTTATCTTTGTTATAACTTTGCATGATGTTGGGAAAATTAGACTAGTGACTTTGTAATCAGTCCTTTATGTACTGAACGATTTTCTATAGAGGGAAAGATATATAGTTTCCCTCCGAGGCTAATTAGGATATGGTTTTCTCCCGGGAAGGGGTAGCTACTGTCTTCTGTCTTGTTTCTTTTCTTCAGAAGCGTGAGTTCGATTACATCTGCTTTCCAGGCATTCAAATAATGATGTCATTCCAAATAAAACCGATCAAACCTTAACCGTTAAACTAAAGGACAAAAATTATCTTTCAAATCGGCATTCTAAATATCCACGGTCTCACGGAAAAATCGTAGGTTAACTTTAGAAACTCTTTGCGGTGGCCAATTTATATTTATATCTATAGCAAATATTATTAGCATGAAATTAAACTATATTGCGCTAATTGTTTGCCATGCAGGTGTCCTAGAAAATGTAACAGCGGGAAGTGTACCAACTTCGAATTCAAACATCTTGGTATCACATGGTACGCTTTCTTGTATCATCTCTTAGTATGCATGATATTTTTAGCGTCAAAGATGTACCTACCGAAAGCTTAATGCAAATACCCAATCGTATTAATTTCCAAAAAATTACGCTTGGTAAACTATTTCAATATGAAGAAATAAAAATACATTATAAACACCCATTGCCACATTTCTGAAACGTCCACTAAGCGCGGAAATTCAAACAATTTCATTTCATTACAGAATTGGCATTAATCACGATCTGATTGGCCAATTTTCCGTTCTCAAAAACAGGTAATCCGTTTTCTCTCGCGTGACGCGTTTCGCACAAACGTGTTCACTGTGCAAACACTGACCTTACATTAATTTTTGGGAATTTTATCCTATTTAGAGTAACTCGATGTTGGAACGAAGCCTCAGTTCTCTCTTCCTTCACAACAGAAATTTAAAGAAATTGTGTGCATTTATGGCGCAGTTTATTGAAAAATTTTGATTATACGTTCAATTTCGTTTCTGGTTGTATGTATCTGTTTTTTCTAATTTTTTCTATAGGGAGAGCTGGCTCCGCGAAGTCAAAATGGGAAATAGGGGTTGAATACTTATCTTACCTGTCAGTCCTTGCTATTCCACATTTCTTTAGGCTGTGAGTTCCAAGCTCTGAAGGAAAACTGGAGTGAATAGTGAGTACTAGTTAAGACTAGTACTATGTGAGTACTAGTTAAGATTTTCAACTTTTTCTTTTCGTTACGATTTACCCATTGTGATTTCCATGTTGCCAAGTGCGATGGTTGAAATGATAAGTGTCGTTGTGGTGTCCCATGAGATTTATCTACGCTCTAAAATCAGTGGGCATAAAAGCTTCATATGCAGGAAATGTAAATGTTTATTATTCCTTGGTATCTTTAACAAAAAGAGGGCATGGCAATCTTTCGAGTCAAAACTTTTCATAAGTTCTAAACTTTACTTAAAAACTAGAAAAAAGTCTGAAATATCCTAAGTTACTGGAAATATCGCAGACTTACTCTCTTAGGAAAAATCACGATTTTAAAAGGTTTTGTTGCTTCACAACTCGTTTACATTATGACACCCCTGTGCTCTAACGAGAAAATCACCTATGAAATAAACAAACTCTTCAATTCATTTGTTTGGAATGGAAAGGTGACAAAACTAAAGGAAGTGGAACGAGCAATGACTATGCGGAACTGAGGTGGTCTAAAAATTATGAATTTCAGTCTTTTAGTATGACTTTAAAAGCCACGTGGATCACAAAATACCTAAATACAGCCAACCAAGGCAAGTGGAAACTTTTTTTGATCTAGAATGAGAGAGATTTGGTAACAGCTTGCCTTTTACCGGGAATCTTAACACAAAAGACAAGAAAAAATCTATGAGAACTCGGGAAAATTCATGAAAGAAATTCTACTATTATAGTCAGAAAACAATTTTGAGGGATGCATAACCTCCGAAAGTCAATTTCTAGAACAAATTATTTGCCACAACTCGCTTATTGATGAAGTGCCCTTCCTTCTAAAAGTATAGCACGACCATGGTATTGACAAAGTAAAACATTTCAAAGATGACGAGAACAAATTTCTAACTTTACAAGGCTTCAAAAGTAAATTTAAATCGCAATATAGCCTTATGTACACATTGGAATAATTTCCACGATAAAACCTCTGTGGAATGCATGCAGAAAGAATCTCAATAGAAACATCTGCAACAAACATCAAAACTTTTCGAAACGTTAAAAATGTCTCAAAAACCTTGCCGACTCGTTCGTAAAAAAAATTATCTAGCGAAGTACCGTGCCCCGAACAAAAGTCAGCAGGGAGGGACAGCCGATTGTTGTGCAGGACAAAATCTGAAGTACGGCCTATATGTTAGCCTATAATTGTACAAAAATCACCAAACTCAGAGAATTTCAGTTTCAACTTTTGCACAGAGGGTTACCAACAAATTATTTTCTCGCTGTAAGTAATGTCACTACTGTATGTAATTGTTAGTAGTGCAAGTAATTGTAAGTAGAGTAAGCATTGTTATCTCCGCCAAAGAGGGTGAAAAACAACAACAACAAAAGTAAACGAAGAAGCAAGCCTTTACTTCTACGAATAACTGAGTGTGTGTCAGGATATCACGTTCAGCTAGTTGGTCTTTTCAAAGATCCGTGTTTAATTGAATTGACTGAAGTTTGCTGATGGCTGATGAAATCCATTATTTCCTTCACGATTGCCTCTTTTCCAAACACATTCCAGAAAACCACAATCATATTAGCTCGACGTAACATTTCTATGATTATACATACAGATTATAAAGGAATCATGATGTAGGCTTCATAGTAAATATTTTGCTCTGTTTACAACAATTTTTCCTTTAACACTGATTAAGAAAAAAAAAAGAACTTAAACTTTCAATATATATTGCAATGCAGGTGTTTGACCTACTTAGGATCAGAAACCAACCCATATCCCTGTGCATGTACCAACAACCATAACCAGCTTTGGAAACTCAACAGTGACAACACCCTCCGGCCCAAAGATGACAGCAACAAATGCCCCTTTCTAATTAAAACTGGAAATAGTGATCTTTCCTCAAAGATAAGACAACAGATGCCGAGTGAGCCTATGTTGCACACGTTCTTCAAACTCGCGACGAAGAATGGCAGTTTCACCTATGATGGTTGGCAAGGGCAGAATCTCTACTTTGCCTAATTGGGGGTTACACTGGACCGCCATTTCAGGATTGGAGTCCACGACCATTCGCTTGTGCTCGTCCTAGTCCACCAAATGTGCACTGATGTATCAGTGAGTTCGTTCCAACCTTTGAGTACGGATGGTTTAATTTTTTAGCCAGTTTCAGAGTAAACCAAAGTTGTGCAATAGCATTAGATTTAAAAGAAAATTAAATACAATCTGTTATGCGGATCAAAAAGCATTTTTGCGATTAGAAAGCTGCGTAACAGCTTAATAGAAATAAAGATCATGCGCCAGTGAAGAGCTTATTCATTTTTTGAGATGTAGAATGCGAATAGCTCTTAACAGCAATTCCAGTCACTCTCGGGAAGACATGCTCTGATGTAACAAACAAACTTAGATAAAATATGTGAATTTAAGAGGTTGGGAATCTGGAAAAACAAGGATCCTCCTCTAACTAGGACTAAAATTAATGGGGGCTCTCTTATTTTAATTCATATTTTTAATTTGACCTGCTTCCTCCCCTGTAATGTTAGGGCACATAGATGAAGAGAACATTTTTTTGTATTTTGATGCATGAAAGTTAAATTGGCATCCACATAATCACAAAGCAAGAATGTAAAGCTTTAGCTCAATAGGTTAAAAAAATTAAAATAAGAGAGTTTTGCAGACCATGTCTGACTTTTTATCCTGGCTCTGGATATTTATTCAAATAACGTAGTCACTATCAGTCTCGTTCACTCTCACTTTCCACTGAGCTTGTGGAAAGATGATAACATCATTATTTCTTTAAATGAAGCCTGTCCTCTTACTACGTATAGTTCTGTTGGGCATCATCAGTACAAAAGTGGTCTAATTTTTACATGAAGGTAGGCTAACCTTAAAAATTAGTTGTAAAAATTTCTTGAACCAGTCGTTCTACGTCTTGAATGTTTCACTCAATTTTACCTGACCAAACTAAACTGAATATATAGAAACATGAAATTTATTTGTTCTCCTTTTGAGGGGGGCGTCAAAATTTCAAAGTCATCACAGGCTTAAACTTTAGGTTTACAGAAAATCTTCGTTTGCATGTGTTTTCAATATATGAAACTGGGACTATGACTACTTCAAGAGACTTTACTACATGCCGTATAGGTACAGGCAGGTGTTGTAAAAAAAGTTTGCTGAGCTTTTTCATTAGTACACATATATTTTTCTAAGAATTCTGTTTATCCAGCCTGTGCTGAATTCTAATTTTTCAACCAAATTTTATTATTTTTTGAATAGTTTTAGATCTCCAAGTATCATTTAATGTTCTTGTAATTAAAACAAATACATCGAATCTTGTAGATGTATGGCACATTATTTTTTCTCTGATCCTCCCAACATTTTATCATGTGAAGGTACTGGTATCGGCTCTACAAGTATAGTCAAATTAAAGTTTTTTGCAAAACCCATGCATCAAGTTTTTTTTATAAAGTATTGCATCCTTCTTAAAACTAGTTTATCAGAATAAGAATGAGTTACTGGGCACAAGTATGGCTTTCAAGATCAGATAGTTTCCAGGTTTGAAAAAAAGTCACTGCCTATTAAAATCCTTAGTTCCTTTGCCCTGACAGCTCAACCTCATCCAAACATTGCCAACAGGAGTGATTAGCAAATTATTGATACAGACAAGAGGGCCTATCCCTACATACATACTCCTCAATCCTGTTAGCTTATTATGGACATGGCATTTCAAACATGGTTGAAATGCCATGGTTGAAGTTGTGACTAATTATTTTGTAATAGTGTTTATATGTTGAGGAAAATGGTTGGGTTGAAATATTATACAAAGACTTGCTAGTAGATAGTCAGATGAAAACTTTTTACATATCAATATAATGTATTGTTGCGTTTCATGTTAACATGTTGCAACAATTTCACCTCTCAGTAAATTCAATTATCTGCAAACATAAGAAAGTACCATCTAAAACTTTCAACCTATTTAATATAGCCAATAACAACATCAACTCAACTTCTAAACTTAAGAGAAAACTTGATTGATGTTTAAAATTGATTTCTGTGATGTAAAAATGAAATTCAGGTATCTTCTCTAAAAGACACCTACATTACATGCAGTTACAGCAGAGGTTATCGAATTAAATAACAGAAAAAATTTCAAAAAGACGTCATTTATTTCCAGCCAGAGGACAATCATGAAACATGAAACAAGAGGAGCCAAAAGCGAAAAAGTTTTCAAAAATTACACACGAGTTGAAAATTACTTTTTTTTAAATTTTCTACGCTAAACAGAGGAGGTTGAAACGTTGGAGAAAAACGGTAGGGTAAGCAGTCATACCTGGCAACTTCAAGGGAAGATATAAGAGAAGCCCATACGATTCTGGCGTACTGTTTTACTGACTTGTGCTTACTGCACGTATACACCTCGATCCACCAGAATTGTCTTAACGCAAAGTGGTTTACTGTGGTCTCATTCAATTTTGGCTCATTTTCCCAAACCGAAATTATAAGTCACGTGCTATAGGATATAATTTCAACTGATGCTGATAACATGCACTTCATCTGAAGAAGAAAACACTCCCTATCTTCGAAAATCTGGTCACAACATCAAGAACAACGACGAAAGTCGTAAGCTGTCTCAAGATACCGCTGACTGTGTATAGTTGTGAGAACATCGTCCCCAGGTCCAGACTTCGTCAATTATTCCCCACCTCCCCACCCCCGGAAAAGGTCTTTCAATCCATTGAAGAAACGCTTCTACAGCCGGTGCTGAAGACTTTTATTACAGTTTTTATCCAGTATAACGAAGGGCTGGAAAATAAACTAAGAAGAGCTCCGCTTTTAGGCTTGGCTAAATCTATATATTAGGACTGTCCTCTATAAATATAGCAGTCCAGCAGTTTTTGGTGAGAAGACACCGAAGAAGACGCTTTCAACTACGCTACCTTCAAGATTTTTCGACATTTTATTTACATTTACGAGCCAAAAGCGAACTTGCTTGCCGGCAAAGAAGAACTTGGGTATTTCCAAGACCACACAATTGGCTTCAGCAACTTCTAAATAACCATGCACTGGATCACTGGTGGAAGTAGAACTTGAAAGTTTCTCGCAATACCTTTGAATATATATGCCAGGTCGTTGGACAGGAGCTTCAGCAACAAAACACCAGGATGCGAGGTCCCATTCCAGTGAATCGATTTCAAGTTGGTTCTACGTCTTCAATAAAAACAACAGTTTACTTCGAAATGTACGACAACAGCACATGCTCATGACGCGTACTCTCCAAAGTCCTGTTCCAACTATTGGTAAAATGTCTGATGAGAACCAATCGTTTAAATTGTAATGATGAACATGATGATAAAAATAATGATAGTAGTAAAAATAAAATTAGTAATAATGATAACAGTTGCAATAATAATACTGATAATGACAATGATAATGATAAACTAATGGCAAGCTAAAATTTATTCTATATTAAAATCTTATGCTTAAAATTAGTCAGCGCGTAACTTATACGCAAGCTTTTAAAGGAAGCTCACTGAACACTCCTGATAAAAAAATCGGATGAAAATGGAGGTACTGATGATGATGGTAAGAATGATATTAACAGTTCTGATATTGAAATATCAAGTGAAAAAATTATAGTACCCTTTATTTGGTGTTGGAGTTACAGTTACACATCACGAGTGAGACAAGTTCGCTGATAACCCAAACTTTGACGTTTACATCAACGGAACCTTAGTTATCAAGAAAGTGCTCCCTGTGGATAATGCTAGGGAAAATGTTTATTCGTTAAGGCCGGAAGAACTTTATAGGGACAAGAAATACGAATACGAAATAATAAGAACGCTCAGATTTACTTAGAGACTACCTTGCCGTATAATACAATTTTTAGGGCTTTGTAATATATTAACATTTAGGCAAAGTATAGAAGTTGTTTACTTTGCCGCTCTGTTTTTACCCCTAGGTATCCGAACTCCATCATCTTCACCAACATCAGGTGAGTACGATTTGTTCTTTTTCAATTTTCTCAATGTCAGTTTTGGAGCAAATTTCAAATGAGTTTGTCCAAACTTATTTAGGGTTGCATTGACTTTTATCAGTCTTTTTTTTCGCAAGCAAAATCTTTATTACTGGTATTTTTTTATCACCGAACTTAGCTCTAATATGCCTATTAGCTGCACCAGTGGAATCAAATTTGCACTGATCGAAGTGATCTGTAACTTGCCTAGTTTAAGGTCTTCTTTCCTTTCACACCCTCATTCACTCCAATTCTCTCCTCGTTTCCTCCATTTCAATACACTTCCTCATCCTTACTCCCACCTATATTTAATAGAAAAACGAATTACAGTGGAACCTGCGTTAAACATTCACCAACGGGGAATGACAGCGTGACAGCTTCATACAGGTTGACCGCTATGCCGGTTCCACAGAATACGGGTATTATGAAAAACAGTAAAGAGAATGTCATTTTATGCCACAATTGGCCATTTTATGTACCGAAACTACCTCACAAATACAATTGAGTCTATTTGGGCGGTTCCACTTTAATAGACCTTTTAATACAGTTGGAATACAATAAAAAAAGGCCGTAGGGACTCAGTAAAGAGTGAACACGACCGCTTGATAGAAGTGAACGCTTTATAAAGATGAGAATTACAGTAATGAAGGAGTAAGAGTTTCGGTTAAGAATATATGAAAGTCATATATTTGAACTGCGGATAAAGACATGAATGAAAGTGATCCTCGCAACACGAAAAAAAAAAAAAAAAAAAAAATTTTTTCAGGCCTTATTTTCACTACTGCCTAAGTAGTGCACATCACTGCGAGGATGAACGCTTTCATATATTCTTAACCGCATATTCATCACTTCACGGGTTTATTTAGAACCACTATCATGACCAGCTCCCAGTTGGCTTGTTAGCTCAGTTGGTAGAGCGCTGCACCGGTATCGCAGAGGTCATGGGTTCAAATCCCGTTACTTTTTTCACTACTGACACATCACTGCGAGGATCACTTTCATTCATGAGTAAGAGTTTCGTTACTTTGACAACTAATCGCTTAATACAGGGTGACCGCTTATAACAAGTTCGACTGTAAGCTCGGTCGTTGGCAGGAATTAATACTAACTCTTCGACAAATTTAAAAATATGGCTTTCTTTTGCCATATATAATATAACCTGGCGGCAGGAAGAGAATCAGCATGTACTTTAAGTCCTGATCAAGAGAGTGAAGCCTATTGTAAAAGAGAGGCTGGGCCTGAAAAAATCTTTGAAGGTAAATAAATGAAGAAACGAAGAAATACAACATTGAAAGTGATTATGAATGCTACGACTTTAATCCGTCTTAAGTTATTAACTTAACTCCAATTAATTTAACCTCAATCTATGCTTTCAATGAAAACTTCAATTTTCCATACCAAAGGTTTCATATTTTACAATTATGTATTTATTTGTTTATGTTCTGTTTTTTTCAGGGGGTTCAACTTTCACTGGATTGGAAATTTCTGGATTAGTCATCGGTGCAATCATAGCAATCTTTTGCCGTCTCATTAAAAAAATAGGTCCGCAATGCGTACACGTGTCGCACTTATGACATGTAATGGAAGTTAAACTGAAGGGAAAAATATGAGCGATAATAATTCTATTTAGATTAAAATTACCGTAACCTACATTGAAAACTTAATTCTGGACATTGGATGAAGTAACCGTTCGGATATCGCTCAAAGGGGAAGTATGGAGTTACATTTATCTCTTTAGAGATGAACACTTTTCAATATGATGGTCAATAAAAAAAACAATCAGAATTGAAATTCTTATGTATTGTTTTTAGTTACAATTGCACAAATGATACTGGTACTTCTTGCTGTTTGGAACTATAGGGAAAACTTCCTTTTTTAATGAATGAAGAATATTTGTCTAGGGAGACAAAAGAGAAAGATATAATGAATATGTTGTATTCATTAGTAAATAATTATGCTATAATTATACACAGTAAGATGGCACTTTATTTATAGACAAGGTTTTTTTCATGGGAGGGAGGGACATAAGATGCAGGAATAGGTTACTTACCAGTTGATGATGACAGTAGTGCAGACCAGAATTCTTAGTAAAGTAGAAAGCTGGAACTTCATTGGCAGTCTAAGTTAAAGATAGATCTTTTGAAACTATTAAAAACACCCTTTGTTTAAGAAGTTAGTCTGCTTTTTGAGTCCATCTGTTATATGTATAAAAAAATATTTTTCTTATAATTTACCTAGCCATCTTTCATGTGATAGATATTCAGCATTAGCATGATCAATGTATATGTTGTGGTTCTTAAAAATTATCTTTGGTTGAAAGTTTTGCAGTTTGATTTAATTTTAATATTTTATTG